GTCTTATTTTTTTGGAGCGTGTGTGTGTGAGAGAGAGAGAGAGAGAAATTTGGAGATCTGTTGTGATTGAGTGATTGGGTAATTGTTGCTTGTAGCTTGTAGCTTATAGTTAGCTGGGGTTGATGTATTGAGGTCGTGATTTGATTGGACTGGACTAGATTGAATTGAACTGGATTAGATTGGACTGACTGGATTGGATTAGACTGGACTGGATTAGACTGGATTGGATTACTGGACTAGATTGAATTGACTGGATTGGATTAGATTGGATTGGATTGAATTGGACTTGGCTGAACTGGATTGAATTGATAGAAAGGGAGGGAGGAAATAAGGAGAGGGGAAGGAGGGTAGGTGTATAAATAAAGAGTAGAAAGTAGAGAGTAGAGAGTAGGAAAATATTAAAGTGTTGTGTATTTTTTGGGGGAGTAAGGGGAGTGAGGGGATTAAGGGGAGTGAGGGGAGTGAGGTGAGTGAGGTGAGTGAGGTGAGTGAGGTGAGTGAGGTGAGTGAGGTGAGTGAGGTGAGTGAGGTGAGTGAGGTGAGTGAGGTGAGTGAGGTGAGTGAGGTGAGTGAGGTGAGAATGCGAAAAGAAGATTTGGAAATTAAATTGGAAGTGGTAATGTGGACTCTGAAGTGGTTTGAAGATTGTAGGATGGGGGAGAGGGGGGGTGGGAGAGGGGGAGAGGAGGGGAGAGGAGGGGAGAGGAGGGGAGAAGAGGGGAGAAGAGGGGAGAAGAGGGGCGAAGAGGGGAGAGGAGGGAGAGAAGAGGGGAGAAGAGGGGAAGAAGGGAGAAGAGGAGGATGGAAGAGTAGAGTGAATGAGTTGGAATGGGTTGTTTAGGATTTATGGTTTTGGAGGTTGGTTTGGGTTTTGGGGTTTTGGTTGTGAGTTTGTGAGTTGTGAGGGGAGTTGGTGGGAGGGTGATGGTAAAGTTAAGGGCGAGTGTGAGAGGAAGATTGATGGAGATGGTAAGTGGATGGAAGAATGAAGGATTTGAGAGATTGAAAAATTGAGGGTTTGAGGTTTGAAGGGATATAGGAGGTGGAAGTGTAGAGGCATGGAACTGGAGATGGTTGGTTGATTAAATTGAGTTTGGAAGGGAATATGGAATATGATGTAAAATAATATAATTATTGGATTTAAATTTATTTATTAAATATAAGATATTTAAATTAAAATATTAGTATAAAGAGTTATGAATATCAGATGAGGATAGTAGGTATGTGAAATAGATATAGTATATTAAATTCAAAACAAGATATGTAAGTGATTTAGAGAAGAGAAGAGAAGAGGAGAGAAGGAAAGAATAAAGAAGGTAATAGATAAGTATTGATCTTGAGATGAGAATTTAGATTTTCAAAAGTGGGATTAGATTATGAATAGCGTGATGTAATTTACGTTTTTTTTTTGAAGAATTAGATTAGGAATAGAGATGTGGAAAGATTGTATTTTGAGATCTTGCGGTTGTATTATGATTTGATATTCGAATATCGTTTAGCTGTTTAATAAACGATCGTTTTCCTATCTGGAATCATATCTTACTAATAGGTCATATCATAGTGCTAGGTTCCTTTTATAAAGTAGTTGATATTTTGAAATTGTATGCTAGAGGAGAAGATTTGATGTGATGGTCAAATTTCAACTCGTGAACAGAATCATGAATTTATTTGACCTGATAGAGTTAATAATTTGATATTAAATAGAATATTAGATGATTTCACTATTGCATGATCAAAATTCCTTATTTGAAACTTGATCTCCAAGTAGAACGAACGATGTGATCTAAAAAGAGGTGTTATATGATCTTTGAAATGACAGTTAACGTAGGGCAAAGTGATTAATCGTTGTGAGATAATAGTCAGTATACAATATTAGATCTTATTATCCTCTCGATTTGTATATCTTATTTGACAGTTTATTTCTCTTGATCTGACTGTCTTTTCAATCTTCTACCCCTAGTTGAGAATAATACAAATCGAAGTCAATTATGTGACACTGCGGCTCAGCTAGATGTATATTGTTAATGGATTTTAGAACTATAAACTATATGCGTATTTTCTTGTTCGATTTTTTTAAATGGTATCAATATCTTGCTACGAAGTGAGTTGTGGATATTAGGAATAATGTCTTTGAATACTTTTTTGATATTTCTCTTTAGGCGAATATCAATGAGAAGAGTCGAGTTTTAATATAATATCGTTTTCTGAATGAGTACTACCTGGTAGAGTATTGAGTTGGATTTGAAGAATTATGGGATGGATAGATATAAGGTGTAATATTCGCCAGTGTAAATATTATTAATCTTGAATCCAAGGATAGAATTGAATGATTGGTATTGCAAGTGAGTACTCTTATATCCGAATCATAGAATGATGGTAATTGTGTATGACAGAAAGATGTTTTTTGACTCAGTGTCTTGTATGGACGAAATCCTACTATATATTCCACGTATGTATCATTTAACCCCAAAGTTCTTAATGTTAATTTAGTATATACATTCGCTATTAGCGATCAAAAAATCAGACATCACTTCATTATCCTCTAGTCACTCTCTCCCTTTATCACATAGTCCGATAACAAAGCTCCGCCAAATTTCTTTGGTCCATGCATCCCAATCTCATCGACGTCCCTGCCAAAAATACCCAGCGCATCTAATCTCCAAGCATCCCACATTACATACCCCCAGCTTCTCAAACACTTTCCTGTTCGGTTCCACTTCCCATGGTCTCTTTCCCATTGTCTACGCACCCAACACCATGCTGCATTACTTCCTGACTCTTCCCATACAGATTGTTCTTTCAAACACTCCTGTAAAGTTTGAATGGAGATGTCTCTTCTCGTTGCATCCTTGGTCCTTAAGGATTTCCATTCATCCAATGTCATGGACAAGAACTTGTTCACATCGATGAAGTAGATCGCATCACTGTATATGGCACTATATATCAAGTTCACTTTCTCCTTTCCAGTTTCCTTGCGTTTTACTCCGGCCAACAACTCAAACCCCTTGCTCATAGCCAATTCGCTCAGATTTTCCCAATCAATCCAACTCTTTTCCCTGAGCCATTCACTATTTGCGACTTCCTCGAGGGAGCGGTTCCGGTCTCCATCTATCCATTCTTGATAAATCCACACGTCTTTCCATTCCTTCGGATATTGCTTGTACAGAGCATCATATTCCCTGAGATACCAATCTCGCACGCAAATCATCTCTTCAATTTCCCATTCCTCACATCGATTCAAAAATAGGACTTGCTGCTCCTCGCATAGATCACACAGACGTCCGCGTCGTTTCCATTCGTGCCGGTAAATACGATTCAATCCTTGCTCTGAGAAAGGACCACTTGGATCTTGAGCGGATTTGTACGCTGAGGAATCGTGGTCTCCAAGTGAAAATAAATAGGTAAAAGCCTCTATTCTGAGAAATGCGCGTTGAATACGACAGAGCTCGCTCTTGGAAGGAGATTTTGCTGAATGGGCTGACAAGGGGATCCGTTCTCCAGTAATTGGATGATTTCCTATCGTACTTTCAAAGAATGCCATCGTCAATTCTTGGAGTGCGGGCAACTTCTTTGAAAACCAAATCATATCATCCAGTGTGATGCCCAGCTCACTTTTATCTAGATTTCTTCTACTCTTTAATAATTCTGATATTCTCTCTCGCGATGTGTCGTCCATTTGGTCACCCCAAAAATTCCTGGCTCGCAGCTGTACGTGCCGGGCTGCTCTAATCACGAACCACGCTTCTTCTAGAACTTCGCTTCCGAGTTCGTTCTCTAGTACTTGTTGGAGAATACGTTCATATTCCTCGCTATGATAAGCGTTGTAGAGTCGTGGTGATGAGTGGGTCAGGGCATTTAGAGAGGTGACACTTGGGAGAGATCGAAGGACTTGTACTTTGAGTTCTGTGGGGAGTGCTTCGAGCTGTGATTTTGATTGTGAAGTCGACATTTTGAGAGGTGTAATTTGTTATATGATGGAATTATCTTGTGGTGTGGTGTGTTTTGTGGTTTGCGTATGGAATTGTGAAAGGTGTGGGAGTAAGTGACGAGAATATTGTTTCGTGGGTAGGGATTTTCGTGACTCAATGATATGAGTAGCGATATTCCAATCCAGTGGGAAATTATTTGACAAGTATTATCATTTTTTTATTAAAACATTGATTGCAAGAAACGATACTTAAACATTCCAAAGTATGAATGATCAACTTGAGGTTGACGTTGATCACGTGCGCGGCAGCCTAATTTTCTTGTCCTGCTGGATCTTATCTTATCTACACATCTACACTCGGCGTAGACAATCATCGACTTTGACGGTTGTAAGATTAGTACATAAGACTGCGAGGAACTGAAGCTGCGAGGTATTTCATTCACTAGTGTGTTATCATGCCTCCTGTTGCGTTCAAAACTTTTTACATCATTTATCATATATCATTCCACGATACGACGATATCAATAAAACTGGTGAACAGGATGAATTTCGAAGAACCACGGTAAGGTTACTCACCAGAATCCTTTTCCATTCCGATCAATGAACACCGCCATACTCTTCGATTTCTCCTTCTATCTGTTTAGAGAACATGGCATGAGGTTCTTTTGTTCAAAATTGCCCAAATACAACGCAATCTATGATCCAACCGCTGTTTGCGGTCATGCTTGCTTAAACTTGGTTACTGTACACATTCGTTTCGCTTCACAAAATGAACATGAGACCAGTACGCCTACTCACAGAAACTTTTTGCCGCTGATTGGATCGTAGATTCTCACGAGTCGGTTAGCATATATTTTTGCTCTACTGCTCTAAATATTTGCATACATTTGAAATTCAATCTCACCCTAAATTAAAATGGAATCCTAATAATACAATAACCTCCAATTTTATGGCTTTAGGCGTTGAAATACTCCCAGCATCGGGCTGAGAGTACACGAAACCTTCGAAGCCGACTTCATCCAAACCTCAGTACCGTTCGATGATTTATTCTGCATGATCTGAATAGACAAATCTACGCCATCTTAGAACCACTCTCGTTTCGTCGTTCCAGCTCAATACCATCTTGAACGTCATCTCCACTACCCACTTCCTGCTGCATTCGGAACCAGCCTTGACTCAATGCGACTAGTGTTGCTGTTCCGGCCATAGCGATTGATAGAGCGATTGCCATTCGGATACCCCTCATATAAGCAGCTATAATTCCAGGTAATTCCTTAGGCGCAAAACTAGTCTGAACTTGAGATGCCCCTATGCTGAATATGCTGGAGGGGCTAATTGATGGATTGGTATGAGGAATAATGTTGAGAAGCTCGTTTTGGAAAAGTGATTGAGCTGCCGAGACAATCAGAGCACCTCCCATTGACTGAAAGACTGTGTTGTATCAAGGATGTCAGCTTATAATATTCTTTGTGTTTTGTTTTGTGCTTCTTGTCCTTCGTTGGAGACTGTTTAGTATTCAGCTTCAATCGAATAGCTTAATTAATCCCCTCAAGATTCTGGATGACTCTTTGAGTCTCAGGGTGTCAAAGCTAATGATTCTAGACACATCACAGACATGTCTCACCCAAAGGAATCAAGAAAGGGGGCATCGTCAAGCATTGACTAAAAAGAAGAGAGAACGCTTACACAAAAGCATTGACGTAGCAGTTGCTATCTCATCTGCCTTCACAATGTTTTATACTACAATGATGTACACGTTGAAGCAAAATCCAAGCCCAATACCTGCCAGAGCTTGGTAACCAATCCATTTGCTTGAGGAAGAGTCTGGTTGTAAAGTCATCAATAATTCGCAAGAGATGGTAGTTAGTGTTCCGCCGACGATCAAGAATGGGTTAATGACGCCTATCTTGCCGACACTAATACCTGTTATAATCTGTACCAGAGCTAGGTGAAATGTTTCATTAGTAGGTCTGCTTAATATAGAGAAGGAACACATACTGAGACCCAAGATCAAAGGAAGAGTTCGAATTCCGGATCCAGTGGCATCAGCTCCCCGAATCGCTTGGAAGTAGATCGGAAGGTAGTAGAGAAGGATTTAGAAGCTACCGGCGATTCTGAGAAGTCTGGTAAGCAAAACCTGTCAACCGAATTCAAAAAACATTGAAAATTACTGACAGAAAGCAGAAAGCACAACCCTTTGCGATAGTTGGGTTCCTGAAGATAATTCGTAGGAGAGGAGCTCTCTCGCCTTGATACCATTCAATAAGCCCGAAAAGCACGAGAAACAACGCAAAGCCAACAAGTGTACCAATCACATCCGAGTTACTCCATCTTTTAATGGCACCTCCCCACTGCAGAGCTAGAAGGTAGCAGACGATGGACGCAGTGATGAAAAGAAATCCCGGTATATCCATTTGCAGAAGTTTTTCCTTCAAGGTCGCCTCAGCTGGTTTGACTGCATCTGGCACTTTAAAGAGGAAGATTATAGAAGCGGCAGCGAGTGCACCGCAAGGAAGGTTAATGAAGAAGCTGCTACCCATCAGAACCACATTTGAGGGAAAACATGCGTCACAATTCAACCTACCACCAACGCCATGATACACGATCAGTGAGAGCACCTCCAATCAATGGACCAATGACCGACGCAATGGCATATGCTGAGCCCATAAATCCCGTCATCGCAGGTCTTTTTCTGGTGGAGCTGAAACTCCAATAATTTTATATGATCCTCCGAATGTTCCTGCAACACCAAAACCTGTTATAGCTCGTCCTACTATCAATGTTGTGCTATTTCTAGCAACACCTGAAACTATTAGTGAGATATAAGAGTGAGACGCTGTTTGGCACATCTGATCTTACCACATATCAAACTTCCAACTTCAAAGACAGCTATACTGATCAGATAGACAGTCTTGATTGGAAAATATTTGAAAGCCTTTCCCCACAATGATTGGGCCGCTGCGACTGTTAGGAATAGCGCGGAGGCATACCATCCAACATCGTTAAGACTATGAAATTCGTCGGTGATGTGTGGAATTGCTGTGGCAATGATGGTCTAGAATTAAATTGTTAGAATTTCAAAGTACTATCCTTTCTTTGATTCCGCCGGCGATGTTTACAGAGATTTTTAATTATTTCATCTAGCAACGTTTGCGTCAAACTGGATTACTGCTTGACTGAGCTTTCACCCACCATCGAGCCTCCATTGCTTGATCTCAAGTTCTCGTTAAATGCCCAGTTTACTACTTCTCTTTACACAAAACAAAAATTAACATTCTTACCAGATCTAATGAAGCCAAAAACATGCTCAAAACTATCGCAATACCCACAGCAGCATATCGCCAGCCGGTCAAGTAAACTATGGCAGCAGTGCCAGCAGTGCCAGCAGTGCCATTGTTAATCCCTAATTCAGGTTGATTTCTTTCCAAAGTCATGTTTTTAAGAATAATTATGATTGAAAGTCCAAGTAATCAAACGCTTCAGAATAGTGATATGGTCAAATGCATACTTATTTATCATCTCACTAACAGCATGTAAGATGTTGGTTGAGCTGTCAACTTTAATTAGGGAACCAACTAAACTGAGAATTTCCATCAACATGATCCAGCACATGAAGTCGGAACGATGGATCCGTGAGATTAATCGCATTTAACGAACCAGACTAATAATCTCTGTAAATCTGTTGTTTCCACCGCACTCGGCGGGGTGTCAGCATGCACGAATGCCTGTCACCAACAGTTTGATGACACTGGCATGAATTTAAGGAATTCATTTGAGAAATCAATGCTAAGTATTCTATACCAATTGCAAAATGAACTCAGAACGAAAATTTGATATTGTCATCATTGGGGCAGGTAATAGCACATCCTAAATCCAAATACAAGTTTCATACACTGACCCATTTTATGATAGGAATCTCTGGTATATACGCCGCCAAATTCTATCTAGATATACATCCACAATGTCGTCTCGTGATTTTCGATCGAGACAAGTGTGTTGGTGGCGTTTGGAATTCTAGTAAGCCTCATGTTTGTTCCCGAGAGAAATTTCAATGCTCACTTCTGTAAGGAAGAGGATACGAATCATTCTGGACACAATGGACAGTCGGTACTGCGGAATTTTCAGACCTACCTATGACCAGACCCCCCGAAGAAGATGTTTACTATGAATTCTTCAAAGCGAAATATACCACCAAGTATCTTGAAGATTATGTCGACACACATTGGTACGGCGACACGTCACTCCGTGATAGAATCAAGCTCTCAACGGAAGTTCGATCACTCCTGAGAAAGGACGGTGAATGGGTGATTGAAACCGTGGATGTGGTTTCTGGATCTTCAAATACTTGGCAAACTACTAAATTGATTGTTGCTAGTGGACTCAACTCTATACCCAACATGCCCTCACTTCCAGGCAAAGAGTTATTTCAAGGCCCTATTCTTCACCAAAATGATTTTGGGTCGTCCAAAGTTTTGACCTCACCAGATATCCAGAGAATAACTGTGTTAGGAGCTGGAAAGTCATCTGCCGATATGGTATACTCAGCTGTTAAAGCAGGCAAGACTGTATCATGGATCATCAAGGCTTCTGACACAAATGGTCCTGGATTTCTTCTTTCTCCGAAAGGGAAGGGTCCCTACAAGAATGCTTTCGAAGTTGGATTGACACGCATTACTGCTACATTCGTGCCTTCATTTCTGAATGGTAATTCATGGTGGACGTGGTTTTTGCATTCGACAAAGTATGGAGTCAAAATGATGAATGCCTTTTGGGGTGCTGTTGATAATGAAACAAGGAAAGATGCAGATTTCAATGGAAGGAAAAATCTTCAAGGCTTTGAGAAATTGAATCCTCAATCTCCGTAGGAAATTATGTACCGGGATGCGTGTTGGCAGTCTGCTAATTCAAGAATAGGATCTTTTGGCAGAATTGTACTGGTGGTTTACTGAACCAGGTCGATTTCTTCGATATCATTGCTGAAAACGTTCGGATCTATTGTGCCGACATTGCAAGTATCGAGGAACACAAGATCCTTTTAAAAGATGGTGATGTAGTTCTGGCAGATGCCATACTATGTGGTACTGGCTGGGTACCATCCCTTCAGTTCTTTACCGAGGATCAAAAAATATCGCTTGGTCTTCCTCACCTACCATCTTCCGAGCGTGAGGAATATCAAGATAATTGGAAGCAGCTTGCCTCAGAAGCAGACCAGAAAGTCGTCTCCAGATTTCCGCAACTTGCAAATCCACCCCCGCATTACCGTCGTCCTGTCACCCATACCCCATATCGTCTTTACAAACACATCGCGCCCCTCCTTACATCAGGTTCAGAAATTGACGGAAATTCCATCGTATTCATCGGTCAAGTAAGCGTAGGAGACTATTTCCCGGTCGTACAATGCCAGTCTATGTGGGCGACGGCATATCTGGATGGCAAACTAGCTCTCCCGCCAAGCCAAGAACAGCAAAAGGAAGTTGCTTTATTCACAGCGTGGAATAGCAGAAGATACTTAAGCAGTGGAGATGAGGGAAACAATATGACGTTTGAGTTGGTAGGGTATTGTGACAGCCTTCTACAAGACTTGGGGTTGAAAAGTCATCGAAGAGGTTGGTTTAAGGATTTATTTGCTCCGTTTGTGGCAAGTAACTTTGCGGGATTGAAGGATGAATATTTGAAGAAGTATGGTTGGGATGAGAGGAAAGGAGTTTGAATGTTTTTTCTCTTGAGCAATTCTAGATTTCATAAGAAACCAACGATCAGCCGCAAAGTTTGTACAGATATAAACAGTTCATTTCTCTTGTTTGAGTACCTAAGGACAATACTTTCCTTTAAAGCAGCCAAATACCATAGATTCGTTTTTTAAGAAAGATGCAACAGCAGTTTACTTATCTTATCCGTAGATTAAGATGAGATAGCTGCGTTACCTGATGACTTCGAATATTAATTTACGATGTATCACCTAGCACGGGACTCATAACCTACTCCAAAATGCTTGTACAATAGGCGGCTCCATTTCCCATATTGCAGATGTGTGAGTGATGTTTGACAATTGTGCTAGGAGGAAGTAGGATCTCTCAGGAGTCTTCAACAACTAGAATGAGGTTGGGGAATATAAGGAAGGTGCATTGAAGCTATTAATGTTGATCCTGGAGGACATCATCTAGGATATTTTGGATCAGCTGTAGATCCCTCTCCACATCGACTTTCCACGTGCTGATTGCGAATCTGCAGGCTGGTCTCTCCCCCCATTTTGTCCCTGACACATACATTTTTCTTGTTGCATTGATTCTCTTAACCAATTCATTGTTAGTGCTGTCATCTTTCGCTCGGAATATAACGATGATATGAGTATTCTCAATCGCATTTTCATTTTCCGACTTGCCTTTCGCAAGTAGTTCGTATCCCACATGTGCATCCAAAAACTTTGAAATTCCCCTTGCTAATCTGACTTGACGAGCAAACATCTGGCTCAAGCCTTCACGACCGTACGCCAAAAGTACGGCGTAGACTGGCAGGGCTCTGAAACGACGTGAGTTCTCAAGACCAATATTCAGAGGCGATGGAATGCTCGATGGTCCAGATGAGAGATATGCTGCATTCGGATTTTGAAATACAGACGACAGTGTTGATACCGACCTTGTGAAGAAAAAGCCACAATCATAAGGCTAAGCAAATATTAGTCAGGAAGATTTTAAAGGATTAGCTTAATGAATGGGGTTTGTATAGCGTACCACATTAAGCATTTTATGAGCATCTCCTGTTATCGAATCTGCTAACTGAAAACCAGCGGATACGCTTCTTATAGAGGCAAATTCCGAAGTATCTGGAAGACTCTGAGCAAAAATTCCAAAGGCTAAAGAATTGTTAGCTGTAGATACAAGAAACGACCATAGTTTTTTTAACGTACCTCCATCGACATGTAGCCAGGCGCCATAGCGATCGCAAAGTTCACGGACTTTTTGCATCTCGTGGCTTCCATCAGTTGCAAATCTTCCAGTATTGACCTCTCCAGCACTCAACGAAACTATGCTAGCCACCCCATCTTTCTCTTTGGCCAACTCTTGTTCTAAAAGAAGCATATCGATTTTCCATGGCTCGGATGGACTGGTACCAATATCCTTTACACAAGCTCTTCCAAGCCCAACAATACTTGCAGATTTGTATATAGAGCTATGAGCCATGGAAGTCAAGACCTGGATTTCTGTAATCCCAGCTTCATTACAGGCCATAAGTAATCCCAATTCTCCAACGCCTCTGCTCTCTCCCTTCTTTTTGAGCCGTCGAGAAATTATAGCTTCCCGTCCACATGCCAGTCCAAGAGTGTTTGCCCCGGTAGCACCGGTAGTGAAAGTTCTCCCATTCCAGTCATCTCCAAGATCCAACAGATCTGCAAGCATTCCCAAGGCCTTGTCCTCGACAGCAGTGCTGACGCTTTGATCTGGTAAATGCACTTGAACATTTTGATCAAAGGCGGTGACGATGTTGTCAGCGACTTCTGCAATCGGGAAGACACCACCAGTGACAAACCCATAATAGTTAGATGAAGTCTTCGGGCCATTGAAACCGGGAGTTATATCTGATAGAATATGTGCTGCAGTGGCTTCTTCCCCAAGCCCAACCGCGGGGAGACTTGTGGCGAGGGACCGAGTAGCTACAGCGATGGCATTGGGTGCGGGTAAAGCATCATTTGAGGTATCATCAAGGAGTAATCGAAGCTTATCATATGATGATGCAACCGAGAACGCCATAGTTATTGAAAGATAATGGGAGGTAATAAGATGCGTTAGTGGGATTGCGCGTTGAAAATCGTGTCACATTGCACGACTAAAATGCTGAAGCGAAGCCATGGAGTTTATATAGTCACTGTCAACAACATCCTATCTCATGGCTTTGCCAATTGTTGATCGCAAACTCCTGCCTCAAAGTGTGCAGATTTCCATTTTAGGTCAAATTCCTAGTTGCCCCTCTTTCAGGTGGAGTAATATGCCACATCGCGTGCAGCCACATTTTTGCGCCACACAGGTAGGTTCCAAGGTTACCTACCTACCTATGGAACGTCTCAACCTACCCGGCGCACATCACCCATCGTTGACATTCATGCTTTGAGCTTGATTCAATTGCAACATCAAAATTTGGACCGGTTGACCATTGGAATAGAATTGTGTCTTACAAATTTATTGAATGGTGTTGGGCATTCACGACATTGGAACCAATTGAGGATTGTTTGAAATGTTCCATTATGTGTCCTGCAACGAAACTCTGGCGCGTGCCATTCTCTTGTGTCAATGATCAAATCCCCTCAGTAACAATGAGTGACAAGAGAAAGCTACCGATATGTATCGGTAGATGAAAAGAGTCCGAAGAGTTGGAGGTAACCCTCCTCATCTTGCACAAAGGATACTTCCTCCCGCAACTAAAGTCTTGTCGGGACCTGGACTGGGTCGGAATCAAACACGAGTGGTTATACAACTCTTTATGTATGACTAGCAAGACAGAAAGCATGTAGGTCTCGGTTCCCATTGCCATGTCGTCGGGTGATGGATCTTCCTTCTCTGGCTACTCATCCAGATATGGAGCCCAGTTGAACCCAGGCGGGTATTCGCATGATTATCAAACGAAATTGAATGCTTGTTGTTGGAAACCACTTCCTCATTTGATATCATGCATATTATTTATCACTATTGCAAATAATCGGGAGGCTACAAGGTGCGGATAACCTTGAATACTAGTGTCGTGGTCCATTACATAAATGTTGCAGCTCCAACAATTTGTTGGTCCAGGCTGAATGCATTTATCCGTAGCTGGCACGAGTTCCGTACGCCAAGCTGCATGCAACTACAAATGAAATACCAACCAGTAGGCTGGGCTCTCATGCATCTGGCTAACGCATCCCAACACATGGATTCCGAAGGTTGAATTGACTCCCGGCATTGAGTCAGACCACTATGGCGGAATTTAGATTCGCGAATGAGATATATGAAATAGGGCTACAAAACTACCAACATGTATAACACGATTCTTGTGAACCAGCGGGCAAATCGCCATGCTGTCTTATGTTGGCTTTGCTTTGGCCTATCATTGTAGAGAATTGAGCATGGAGAATTCAAACCAGCAGAAGCAATGCGAACTCGCAATCGGCTGCGGTGGTCATGCCTACTTGCAGGAGAAGCAAGCACGCAGCAGCCATACGAAAGTTCCACAAAACTTCTCTCCGTAGAATTAAACGTACCAAATACACTTCACAAACCCGAGGATTTGGGTCGCCCCTTTTGCATCTCTCACGATAGACCTTTTCGCCACGCACAAACATGTCGAAGTGTCAAGAACCTGGACAATGCGCTCTTTCCCCAACAGCGACTCAACCACAGCATGCAGAAGATGTCGAGGCACCGCTAGTATGTAAATCCCCAGGTGCAAATATGAATGCAGACTCTCGCTGTGAGCGCGAAACACAATCACCCGAAACTCCTGAGTCCAACGATGGGTTAGTGCGAGCCGCCTTGCTGGAATAACTCCGAGAACGCTGACTTCGTATCCAGGTCATCATCCAAGTCTTTGACAAGCAGTGTTGTGGATTTTCCAGAAGAAAATGGCAGAACATATCATGGCTATCGTCCAGGAAGTACTGATGTCCAATTTGGCTTTCTTTGTCAATAGCTAACCAGCCTGCTAGCATACCACTTCCCAAATGACGTCAATGAACAAGACAGACTTGAGGCACAATTCGATATGCTAAAATGTGCTTTTTCAGGTCGCAATTTCTTCGCTCCTCTGTCTGACCCTCGGTATATTCTCGATATTGGTACCGGTACAGGTCAATGGGCAATTCAAATGGGCGATACCTTTCCAGAGGCAGAAGTCCAAGCCACTGATCTCTCTCCAATCCAGCCAGTATCTGTCCCAGAAAACGTTCATTTCTATATCGACGATGCTAGCGATGACGATTGGGTGCTTCCGTCCAACCACTTTGATTATATTCATACCCGTGTGTTGCTAGGGTGCTTCACGGATTTTGAAACCATCATAAAAAGAGGCTTTCACTACACGAAGCCAGGAGGCTATATGGAGAGTCAAGAGATTTTCTTCACTCCATATTGTGACGATGAATCGATGACTAAAACCTGGCCATTCCTAGAATGGATCGGGTTTGTCGAAAAAGCGGCAACCAAAGCTGGCAGATCGATGAATATTGCCCAAAACCTCAAGAGCTGGTACGAAGCAGCTGGATTTGTGGACGTGCAGGAAAAGGTGTTTAAATTGCCAGTCAACCCTTGGTCCAAAGACAAGCACTTACATAACCTTGGGGAGATGTCTGAAGAGAACTGGCTTGCATGCCTATCAAGCTTTAGCATGGCTTTGTTTTCTCGCATCTTAAATTGGAAGCAAGAACAAATCGAGGTTAGTTTCCCCGCACAATGCCTTCCCACATGTTATGGGTTGTCTAATAGGGATGACCGACAGGTGTATCTGGTGAATGTTCGAAAATCTATCCCGAATCGAAATATTCACGCCTATAATAAGATACATGTTGTGTGGGGGAGGAAACCAGAAGAGAGCGAGAAATTTTCGAGCAGTACCTCGCAAGAGATGTCTTCCAAGGTTGATGTGGCCCAAGGTGAATCTGCAAAAAGTGTCGCTTGACGGACTTCGCGATGTTTTGATCGAGATTCACAATTTTCTTAGGAGAGTTTGTTAGATCCAAGCTACTTGACTAGTGTTTTCTGAGTTTGCGGCGGCAGTCGTATTGATCATTGAGTGAATCTTGTGATAGTACAATTTTATTCCCGATCATCTCTCGTCTTGCTGTGGAAATCACTCTTGAGTTTATACGTATAGCTAACTGAGATCTAAAATCTGGAGATTATCCTCCATAGAATTAGGTCACTCTCCCCATGAACATGTCCCCTATATCCCTATATGCCCACAAAGCAGCAAGTTCTCATCAAGAATGTGATTGTTGTAACTGTATCTCATTCATTAAATCATATCATCTCACTTATCTATCATTAAAATGCAATCAATCCAGTCCAATCCATAAAATTTCCACCCACAAACCCAACCACTTCATCTAACCCCCAACAACAACAAACTCACCTACCGTCGCGCCCTTCCCATCATTTTCCCAACACCCCTCTACCACCAATCTAACGTACTTCCCACTCCACGCGCCACCCTCCACCACCAATCTCGTTTCATTTCCCACGACCGGAACCACACTTTCCGTATTGGAAGTCTGCGTCGTATTCCCCGGCGAATATGGGAGACTTGGAGAAATATCCTCGATATCAATTGACCATTCATTTCCATATATCTGACCCTCATCTGTAGTTTCGTTGCCAAAAAAGACAGAGGCGCGGAGGGGAGGTCGAAGACCCCAGTTAAAATAGATGCTCCAGATGGGGGATGCAGGAATGGAAGTGCTGTTTATGAGAAGGGAAGAGGATTCATTTGTGGATGGTTGCCAGGAAGTTGATGATGCGCCGTCGATCGCTGCGACCGGGAATTGTCCGGCTGAATATGGGTCATTGGAAGTTACGGGCAAGCATTGGAGGAGATTGTTAGGTTTTGTCAATTTTTGAAAGTAGAGACGGTTGGGGATGGTGAGAGTTTGGTTTATCGCAATGCTGTAGGATGTTGTATTCGAAGCGGCAGAACCGGGTGTTCCGACGACAAAAGGAAGCGTAGTATTTTGATAAAGATCGCTAAGCTTAGTGGAAGGGAAACGAGTAATGTTTGTGTGGGTAGTGTTCATGGTAGCCGAGAGAGTTGCTCCTGCGTAGTGGAAAGTACGGACTTTGATGTGGGAGATCTGAGGAGGAAGTGAAGGGTTGAAAAAGAGAGTTGGTTGATCTGTTCGGATACCTAGATAACCAAAGGGTACAACCTGATCGGCTCCTCCGTGCCCAGTTAAGAATGGAAATGCTGGGTTGGTTCCTCCATTCAATGTGACATCGTCAACAGCTTGCTCCGAAAATTGAAACCAGGGTGCTCGGAGATATGGAAGAAAACCATTCAATGTGTAAGTGTATGCAGAACATCCAGATTGAGACAAAGCGTTGGCATCAATAGCAAAAATAGAATAAGTCATAGCCGGTCCGTCAGGCGATTGCTTATTTGCATACTTTGGTCCATGTAAGTAAGATCACAATCAAGAAAAGGGTAAGAATACGTACATAATCTAAATCTAATAGTTTGTCTGCTTCGGTATAATTTTGATTGAAATCCAAGGGGTAAGTCAATAAAACCACGTCGGCCTGTTTGACAGCAACACTGTTGTTCATCGTTTGATATTCTAACGTGATGTTGGAGGCTGCAGATGGGAATTCAATATTTTGTTGTTGCTGTTGCCAAGTTGAATTAGCTTCCAAGCCCTGAGAAACTCTCAGATCGTTTGCCAATTCCAAAAGAGTCGCAGCAGAAGCTATCGTGAATGCTCCGTTGTCCTTGTTGTTAGCATATTCATCCGGATCAGTCATATTGTATATCCAATATGATTGTGTGGTTTCGTTATACATCAGCAAATGCCCTGTCATAATGGCAGTACTCTCAATTATTTGCCTAGGTCCATTATCAAACCAAGTCTTGTTATTTGTGATGTTGTATTCCTGCATTAAATTAAATGCGATGTCATAGTTGAGATGATATTCGTAGTCGACACAGGGACCTGTGCCCGTACAGTTTCCATATCTTCCAGTAGTCCAAGAATAAAGCGAGCTTCCGTTGGGGTAATTATTGAAAGCTGCGTTTT